TGCCACATTTGACCTCTGACCTCTCCTTCAAGATCAATAGATTGGTCTCAAGGTCAAAGCGATATTAATGCTATATGTTTCATAATGCCATTGTTTGTACTGACAACATATAGGGAATGATATAAGGGGGTTCTACATATCACCACTTTTCACTCACTTTTGCATTTCACATCTACTTCTCTTTCAAGTTGACCCCAAAATGTGTTTTTTAATAATAATAATAATAACTTTATTTATAAAGCGCTTTCAAACAAAATGCTGTACAACTATTTGAAACTAAAGAGATAAATAAAATAAAAGCGACACATAGCAATACAAGTTAAAAACAGTAAAAATGTAAAAACTAAAAGCCATAGAATCAAGACGTGTAAGATAAGGTGAACAAATGCATCTTCAACTTAGTTTTAAAAACCTCCACAGAGCATGCCTGCCTAATATCTTGAGGGAGGTTGTTCCACAGAAACGGGGCACGAAAAGAAAAAGCTCTCCAGTTGTCTTTTTTTCTGGCTCCAGGAACCTTCAGAAGGCCAGAGTCCTGAGATCGTAGCACACGAGATGGAACATAAAGGTGTAAAAGGTCGGAGAGGTATGAAGGTGCCTTAAAATCTGCTCAAACCTGACAAGGTATGAATGAAGACATCTCAGTACAGGGGTAATGTGCTCAAATTTCCCAGTTCTGCTAGCAGAAAATGCGAGCAGCTGCATTTTGCACCATCTGTAGACCTCTAAAACTGTTCTTTGGTAGCCCAGAAAGAAGAGCTGTACGCCTCCAGGACCCAGAGAGGAGGACTGAGACTTCACCGGAGCCTCCTACTCTCCCTGGTCATGAGGTCTGCCCGGGACATCTATCACTCTTCCCGGGAGAGCGAGGGCCCGAGACACAAATGCATGGACAAGAACCTCTGCAGTGTTGCTGCATGTCTGATTCTGGCTATGTTCCTCAAATGATAAGCGATTTTTGTACTACAAACCTCTTAAAGAATGTGTAAAAAGAACAAAGAAAATTAAATCAATATATAGAAAATACTGTTATTAATGTAAGGATGTTATAATGTATACTTATAATTTCAGTGCTCTTATTATTGTTATTATTTTAGGACTGCAGCATGCTACTTTCAGCCGTTATGAGTTAGTCTAAACAGAAAGGACCATTTCACCTCAAAAATGAATGAAATGATCGATTTGCTTTCAGCTATTTTCTTGTGAGCGGATTTGGACTAAAAGGAAGTGTTCTTATTTTTCTGCAATAAATATAGTGCTATAATGGTGTGTGCTCATATTAAACATGGGTATAGTTTCAAATCATTTTTCTGAGCATATATAAAAGTGAGCCAAGAGTTTATGCTTATGATGTTAAAGAGAGGCAGTATCCTTCATTTGGCCACCCGAGCACACAGCTCATGGCCTTTTGTTTGCATAGTCCATCCAATCTGAAGAAAGAGTTAGCACAAAGGCAAGGGTAATGGAGCTGAAATGGCTTGTTTCAATCAGAGGATGAACTGAAAGGGTGCAGTAAAAACACATCTAATATTGCAAACTGTGAATCCCATTAAACTGCTCAACACAAGTAGATCCAAAATCAAAAACATGGAGGGATCATTTTTATCTCTCTTATCTTCCACCTCTTAAAAAGAAGGAGCGTCTATTTGTGATTCCACGAGATGTCTTGAGATCATCCAGAGTGATTTGAAGCTGTTTGTTTTTTAATAGCTGAAAAGATTTCACGAAACAAAAGGACAAAATAAGAAAAGTCTTTAAAATATATAAAAATCTGTGTTCGTCCTTAATTAAGTGATGACCACTCCTCTGTGGTAAAATTTGGACCTTCAGTTTCAGACCCACTGGTTTCTAATAATATCATATTTACAGCTATCACAGTTGTTTTCCTTCAAAAGGGCTCAGCAGCTTCAGTATCACATTATAAGTGTTTTTGCCACCAGCTTGTTTAAGCTCTCGGATAAGGGTTTTATCACAGTGACCCTGATCTGCCAACAACAGCTTCCACATCTGGGTCAAACCATACGTAGTAAACCCTACATGTGTACGCTTTCTGCGCTTTCATGTATAAATCCTTCTTTAAGCTGCGATAATTATGCCGCCAGAGTGAATTCCAGTGTGTAATGGTGTTTATCGCCATGTGAAACAACGACTTAACTCGCTCTGTGTAATTTAAAACACGGGCTAAAACAATGCCACTTATTGGGTGAGTGAAGTTCCATGAGAATGAAACCCCTGCACAGAGGTGTGGTCGTAGCTCTCTGACTGTCATAAATACCCGCCAAAATTTTACATGTCATGCCAGTCAGCCACATATTTCACTGCTGACTAACCGAGGCACTGAGTAACTGATCAGTCATCATATTTCTCAATCCTTGTCATAGTTTCATCATACCGTATGCAGGAAAAAGCTTGCCCACTCTTTAGTTTTGATGGAGGCTCACATTAACTCTTCACACACCACCCCGCCACCCCCACAGTCCAGATTGGTCCTCTAATACCTGCAACTTCACTTTTTAGACAAGAGAAAAACCTTCTACTCGGAGGCTGCGCACCTGAACGCACCACGTTTTCCACAGCTGCGTACAACAGCTGTGGTACACAGTGTTCTACTTTAGCCACTTAAAGAAGAAT